CAGCCGCAGCCGCGCTGGACGCCGTTGGCGACGCGCCTGTCAGCCCGGCGCCTGCGACGCCCAACGGTGCCGCGGCCGGCCCCAACGGCGCGGCCGTGGCGCCCGCGCCGTCCCCCACGCCGGCCCAGCAGCAGCAGCAGCCGCCGCAGGCCTCGCCGTCGGCCGCCGCCCGCGCGGCGGCCGACGCAGCCGCGGCGGTGGCGGCGCGCAAGGGGCGGGGCGTGACCGCGCTGACATGCCTCGACGCGTTTTTCGTGAAGGAGCTCGTGTCCTGGGAGTGCCCCAAGGAGAAGGCGGACGCGCGGGAGCGGCGCTGGAGCTCCGCGAGCGGCGGGCTGGCGGGGACGCCGCTGGCGGGCGGCGCGGCGGCGTCGCTGGGCAAGCAGGTGTGTCGCCGCGCCAGCCGCGCAGTCATGTATGCGCGCACGCGCGTGGGGAACAGGGGGGTGGCAGAGGGGTGAGGGGTGACCTGGGATGGGGATTCCAGCGGCCGGGTCTCCATGATGAGACTGCGGCGCTTGAGCGCAGGCGGCTGCCCCTTTCCCTCGCCCCTCGTTCTTGCTGCCCGCCTCATCAAAGCCCCCTGGAAGACGCAGCCGTGTGGGCTCACACACACACACACACACACACACACACACACACACACACACACACACACACACACATCATGTCTTGCAAGACTGCGATCTGACACCCTGCACAAGCACCCTCACACACGCATCCTCGCCGCCCGCGGCCCACCTTCGATCCCATCCCTAATTTCGCCCCCGGAACCCCTCTAATCCTCCAGGTCTCATTCCAGCAGCTGCCGCGCGTCGTGCGAGTCCCGGGCAGCGTGGAGCAGCGAGGCACAGACCTGCAGCGTGCGCTGTCCGGCGCCGCCCCCTTCTGCCGCCCCGTCGGCCACGCCGGCGCGGCGCTGCTCGTGACCGCGCAGCTGCACGGCCCCGGCGCCCCGGCATCGCCCGCGCCGCACTACTCATCGTCCCCGGCGCGGTCAGCATTTGCAGCCATGGCGGCCGGCGACGCGGCGGCGGGCTCGCCCTCGGGCGCGGGCACTGCGGCGGCGCCGCCGCGGCGGCTGAGGCTGCGGGTCGTGCCGGCCGGGGAGTCGAACAGGCGGGCGGAGGATCTCGTCGGCCCCTGGGGCCGTGACCTCGGGGACCTCCCCCTCCCGGCCGCCGCGCTCGTTGGCGCGTCCCCTGCGCGGCGCGAGCGGCTGCTGCGCGCGTGGGCGCAGCTGGCGATGGACTGCGCGGCGGACCTCATTCGCAGCGAGGGGGGCGTGGAGGGCCTGGCCCACATAGTGGGCGGCGGGCTGGAATTGGTGGCGCCGCGCGAGGGCGCGCCGGGCGCGGCGCGCGCGCGGGCGCGGCAGGAGGCGGCGCGGGACGAGGCGGAGGAGGCGAGCGGCGGCGGCGACGGCAGCGGCAGCGCC